TATAACCAAATGTTCATTTACACTGGTAGTTTAAAAACTAGTGCATTAAAAAACTTAAACTTTGCCTTTTATGCCTGAGAATATAATAATATTTCAAGTATTTGCAAATCAAATAATAAATTATAGACCGATAACCTGACTCCTAATTTAAGCAGCCCCAGCAGTGATTAAAGACAGACTAGTGAAGCATGGTACCTGTTGAACCTTAAGTGATTAAAGACTAGTTAATCCTGGTAATTCGTCTTGGAGTCCAACCCAGGTGAATGAGCGGGCTGCATGGTTGTTTTTTGTAATTTTTCCATGTGCTATGGGAATAGGAACCACTTTCCCCCAGAAAAGTCCTCCATGAAGTTATTCCTACCCTTAGATATATAGCCATCGTGTGCTGTGCCATATTCAAGTAACAAACAGATTAATATATATGACTTTTAAACATAAATTTCTAAACTACCAAAAAGAAAAAAAAAAAAAAAAAAAGAAAAAAAAAAGAAAAAAGGAAAGAAAAGAAAGAAAAACTTGCCAAAAAAACCAATGTACTTATCCATTCAGGAGGGATGTGAAAGATACAGTGCCAATGATTGTCAATTTAATCATTTTTGTTATTTTGTTATAAATTTAGATTATCATTCATTAGTAAAGCTCTCTAAATTTGTACTTTTTAATGGAGTTGATGGAAAGAATAGAAATGCAGGTGTTAAAACCTTGATTTATATGGAGTTAGTGATATATGCATAAAAAAGGAGAATTTCTTAAATTTAATCATTTCACGAGAATTTTAATAAATTTTAATATAAAGTAAATGTAACCAAAATAATAATAAGAAAAAATAAATGTAACAATTTGTTATATTACTAATGATTAGGATATGGTCTTGACAAATGCATTCCAAATTTGAATTTAAGCTCATTATGAAAATGTGCTGCACAGGACAATGCATTTTAGGATAAAAAATGAGATCAGTTTTTATTAAAAAATATCTTCTTATATTTATTTGATAAAGATTATGTCCTCTTGGATCCAAAATAGCTGCAGATAATTTTCACATAACTTTTGAACTTCCATAAGTTGACTGTTAATTTGATCTTTATAGGACTGATTGTTTGTATCATAGTTTGACTTTTAAAAAGATAGTATTCTAAATCTTATCTTTTTGATAATATTAGCACCCTTTCAAATATAAGCAACAGTCTGTTAATGTAATATGTTATGCAGTTAATGCCATAAAATATCTTTGGACATAGAACATCTAAAAATTAGTGTTGTATTTGCTACGCACAGAAAACAAGAGAAAAATCTGATATTCTAGTACATTTGCTATCTTTAAACATTCACACAGTAGAAGACAGCATGTTTTATTTGCAATTTTTTTTGGCATATTATTTGAGGTATTCAGAAGTATTATACTTGTATTAAAAACATATGTAATACACCATTTTCAAATCTGCAAATAAATTTCATTGCATATAAAATGGCCAAGATAAAAACTTAAGCTTTTTTTAAAAAAAAGAAGAAAGAAAGAAAGAAAACATAAAAAAACTTTTGATTAATATTCTTTATAAATTTAGAAAATAACTTTTCATATATTGTAATTAAATATTTTTTCTGCATCATTAGTAAAAATGAGAATAAAGAAATTCCATATGAATAATCCTCAGTAGAAGTTTATTTGGAAATTTAAAATAACTGTTTTAATTTACTGCAGATTGTAAAAAAATGTATAAATCACATCTGGCATTATTATAGCTGATACAAAACATCACAAATTTTAAAGCTTGCCATTATATAAATTCTTGTATATCTTAAGAAATTTTGAATAAAAAAAGCTCTAAGTTTTTGCAGGTTTTTCTAAAAATTCATTGGCTTTCAAAAGTTAAGCACCCAACAGTAAAATAAGCAAAAATGGAAAAGTAAAGCTTTGAGTAACACCAGATTGCATATGAAAGTAATAAATGTGATTATGTGTCAAAGACAACAAGCATTATGTGCAAAGATGGAAATTTAGTTTTTGTAAATTATGGTTGCTTTAATTGTTTTTGGCAATTTATTTGCTTGGGTCTTGTACTAAATATTAAAACCAAGACTTCAGATTTTTTCTACTGTATTTTTTGTCTTTGTTTTAAGTCTTGCTTGTTGTAAAAAAATATCATAAAAATATTTCTTGTAATAAAATAGTTTGCTCAAAAAGTGTCAATTAATAGCTCACATAATTCAGACACTCCAAGTTTATGATGAGATGTTTTGGTAGGCGATGCTTCTTGCTATAATTTTTGTTTCAAGGGAAAATATTTCACAAGAATTATCATCTGCATTTGGAAATTTTTACTTATTTAGTTAAATTATTAAAATTTCCATATCTGAAGTGAATATGGCAAGACGCTCCATATTAACGGCAAATTCTGTTAGAAATTTTAATGATAATCATTTTTAAAAATGGTAAAAGAATTAGAAAGCACCCTTTATGTAAAATGTTTTTAACTACCTTTGATGTTATAAAATGATGGAAATTGCATGGAACTGATAAACATGCACTGATGTCTGGACGGCATTAAGCTAACTCCAAGGAATCACACATTCATTTTATGAAAAATCAGACAATACACAAAAATTAGTATTGTAAAATGTTCATCAGATTTAGAAGAATCGTTTGCAATAAAAGTAAACTAAGAAACTTACAAAAGTCATTTAAGGCACATGGATATAACAGGCGATAGGCATGAAGGTACTTCTTTGTCATTAAGAAAACAAGGAAGATATGCCTGTTATTTGCAAAATCTATAGTAAGCAAAGTTTTATCATATTGGAACAATGTTATGTTTGTCGAACTGTCAAGATGTAATATACCTGGTCCCAATAAAAAAATTAATATGAGGGAAAAGCCAAATTAAAAATTGAATTCAAAAGACCTGTTTGCCTTCTATTACACATGGAGGTAGTGGCATTATGGTTTGGGGATGTTTTTGCTGTTTTTGAAATTAGAAATTTGGTGTTTATCCAAAATAATATGGATTAGTATTAATATATAAATACTTGGAATCTTGGAATGCAAAATATATTCAAACTCATTTAGGATTCATTCATAACTCAGAATAACAATCCTAAACATACAACCCTAAATTTTCATTTGTGGTTATATTCAACTCTTCTGAAATTATCAAAACTTCTGCATATTCACTGAAATTTTATGGAATTTGTATTTTGGAGAAAAGAATAAGAAACATAATATTTCTTTGAAAGTTCGACTGAAAGGAATCCTTACATAAGAATGAAAGAAATAGAACTTTCTTACCAGTAAAAAGTAGTTGAATTCATGTCAAAGTGCATGAAAAATATAATTTTAGTTAAAGATTATCCAACCAAATATTGAATGCCCCATTATTTTATTATTTTTATTGAATATAAACTTTCTTCAAAATGTTTGAATACATGAATTAATTTTCAGAACATTTTGAATAAATTATTTTCCCTCAACACATTTTGAATAACTATTTTCAAATTAAGCATGTCTTAAAATTAAGCTTGTAGATGATCGCTAGTATATGTGACGCAAACGTAGTCATTTTACTGATATTTAATAACTGGTACTGGGGAATGAAACTGAAAATTTAAGCTTTTGAAGGTCATATGCGAATGAAAGCAAGAAATAATAAATTATTTACCAGGTTGGCATTAAGGTTGTAAATTATTCAGTTCGCCAGGGTTATAAATTATTAAATAATAAATTAATTAGTAAATTATTCAATAGTTGTAAAATCAACAGTGTTTCAATACAGAATGTTTCAGTGTGAGATTTATGGTATGCATAAAGAGGCCACAATCCAAATTAAATGATAATGCAGATTTATCCTAATAAATTATTATTTCGTCAGTGTGGAGATAATTTGTTAAGTGCCGAAGGGAAATTATGAATCCGAGCTCTCCACGTGTTTTATTGTGAAAAAATGTCAAATGCGCATAGTGTAAAAAGTAAAAAAAAAAAAAAAATTGCTGGTGGTCCGGAGTTCCAGATTAATTTAATCATTCCAGATATTGGACGTACAGATTTCGGGCTTCATTCTGTGTGTATGTGTCTTTATGTCAGATAGAAAGATATGAAGCTCAAAATTACTAACTTGAACTTGTATTTTTAATTCCTGGTTTTAATTTGGTTGCATCTCCTTCCTGGAATTTTAAGGGCGTCATCTGGAAATTCATCCGTTTCATGTTTATGTAATCATGCTGCAGTGCAACAGCTGTTGTCCAATCAGATTAAAGAAAGTTTTTACTATAAATAACACTGCTACAATTATGCACCATTTTTTCCTGCTTAGTTTTGCTTCTGCAAGCCACATATAGTTTCCTGCCGTGCTGTCTTCCTTTGTCTAAAAAAGACGTAAGCTGATTGTACCTTTTTCCAGGTCTTAGCAAATGGAATGAAATAGAAAACTAGCTGAATATTATATTTTCTTGATTAACATTTTTCGTCTTTCAGGCTGTATCACAAGCATTTAATTGCTTCCACCACAGATAGACAGATATCAAAACATAGCATCCATATCACTGCCGTAATTAGTTTCTCAGCAGTGGAAGCGTGTGGTACTTAAAAGTATTGATAAAATAACTTTTGCAGCAATAGAATCAAGCAGTGATTAAAGGGCCACCAAAGTTACCTTTTGAGCTGATGTAATTAACCAGTATTACTTAAGACACTTTGTGCACTTAACCAGTAAAATTCGGAATGAGTTTCCTCATAAATATTATCACAAATAAACAAGAAATTCATTTTTGAAACTTTAATTTTGTCTTTCTTATTTGTGTTTAACTTTTCATTTGTTTACTCGTAACAAGTACCAATTTAATAAGATGCGAAAAGTTAAATTTGCATAAAAATTAGAATTTCAAAGTAACTGTCAAACATTTTTTTTTAACTAATCTGTATCTTTAACATAATTTTGGTAAATTTTCCATGCTGCAATCAATCGCAGGTTCATACTGTAATTTCTGTTTTGAATATTTACATCTAGGTCTTCCACAGATATTTGTTAAACTGCATGATATTAAATCATCATTTCTGCAACACATTGATATATCTTTTGTCAAAGCAGCTGTGTCTTCTGTTTGTGTAAAGTTTCATAATGGAGGTATGATCTTTATTTATTTATTTAATTTGTTGTGAATTAGTTTGTGCTTATATATAGTAATTTTTCATGAGTATCAAGTTTTATTATCAATATATTTATATATTTTGATTTAGACCACACAAGTATCTTGTTTAATGCACCCGAAATGACAACGGATGTTCACAAAGGCTTATATTTTGATGAATGGGAAGGTGGAGGTAATAAATATGAAGAATTAAAAAACAGTACATTTCTCCAGCTGCTGTTACAGTTGCCAAAACTTGGATGTTGTGAAAGTAAATCTTTATTTTTATTTAAAATTACCTCAATTTTATGTAAATCATGTGTGTTAGGTACAATATAAAATATGTAATTAATTTTAATTTAAATGATAGTTTAAATATATTTAAAATTTTCCTGTCTTCTGTGATTGCTTTATATCATGAAACAATATGTGATTTTTTCGAATATCCTAATCATGAATATGTAATTTCTAACATATTTTAGACTTTTTGTATCTGAGTATGTGGATCTGTTTTAGGACCAACTTTTATTTTGTATATCAGTGGATCTACAATATGCCTAGAACCTGCAATAATATCTTGGCTGTCATCTGCTGCATTCACTGAATTTAATCTGAATGCCAATGTGGATCAAGAGTCATTTTCCCCTTCAAGTCCAGTTGATTTGGATGGTAGGGATACTCATGCAGTTTATGTTTGATACTGATACAGAACTCCAATTTTTTAGATTTAATTAGACTGTAACCAATTTAGATAATAAGGGCATCTTTTTACTCTAGGCCAAATACTTCTTTAAATATTTTGTTATTATTATATGTTTATATTCTATTTATTTTAGCAAAGTTTAAGTGGCTACAAAAGCTTTTATTTACATTAAATAAAACAAATGAAGAATACTTTTATTTTTAGAAGATTGCATGGCTTCTTTTTTGTTTGCTCAAGTACCTAACCTGTTTTAATATAAATTAAAATAGAAAATTAAATTATTTTTTTTTAATGTTGATCCTGAACTAAATGCATAATTTTGTTTGCCTCGCAAGGAGAGCAAATAAGTTCTATGATGATTAGTTAGTTGTTGTAAAATAAATATTTGCTTTGACTAAACAATGATTCATGGACTGAAGAAAAAAATAAGGCAATACTCAGCATGTAATTGCTTTTCATTTAAATGTTTATAAGCTACTTATTTGAAAAATAATATACAAGTATGATGGGTTGATACTGTTGATGTATATGTCATTCAATTAAATCTGGTAATTCTGTATGACAAGCTTATTAAATATCATTAAATCAGTCTTTTTCCTCTGCCAGCAAATATGTTATTCATGTTTAATTAATAACTTCTAAAAAAGTGTATATCGGACACCGCTTTGTTGACCACTGCAAAGGTGTTAGCCAGACAGGGTTTATTACCAGCTCAAAGGAGGAATTATATATGTATATCTTACACAATTTTAACTTTTTGTGTGATTTAAATCAAACAAGAAATTAAAATGTGTAAATGTGTTAACAGCTAGGTTAATTTGAACCTGTTGCTTGTCTTACACATGTACCCTTTTCAGTCTTTGCTATTCGGACACATATGAAGAATCTCATTTCTCTGTCACTTTTACTGTTTTGCCCACATTTTTAAAAACTTTTTAATGTCAAATTATATGTGGATTGTAAGTAATTGTCCATTGAATGGTAGTTTATAAATATGTTTGTATTGTGTTCTATTCTGAGTGGCTAAAAAGTGTGTGCTTGTTTCACGTCTTTTCCATGATTCAGTAAATTTATAGCTTTCAGTACTCAGCTTTTTGCATGTATTTTGCTGATCATTTGATAACGTTAGTGATGTACATGTAGTGTAAACTATTTTTATCATAAAATAATGGTTGATTCAGAATGCATACAGTTAATTTCTTATGGTTCAGAATCACAGTCTCAAATATCTGTTAGTGAGCCTAGGATCAATGAAAGTTTTCTAGATGACTTTGATGCTAATGACTCTGATAGTAGTACAAATGTCTTCAGTCAAGGAAGGGATTTTTTTTAATGTTTGTAATAAATTTCCTGACCCGCCTCCTAGATTTACATTCCCTGGAAATCTAAATTTTAGCTTTAATATTGATAATCATTTATGGTAAACTTCAGTTTTATGAAGCTTTCATTGATGATTATTTACTAGATTCTGTTGTTTTGGAAACAGATATGTTGAGCATTACTTGTAAAACACTGTACTTCGTAGTCATTCCAGAAGTAGAAAATGGGTACCAATATTGAAAGATGAAATGCAAGTATTTCTTTACTTGATTTTTCTTCAAGGTTTCATAAAAAGCCAGAGTTGAGTAGTATTGAAATAGAGGGCATTCTGCATCTACACAATTTTTTCCCACAGAGTTATATCATATCTTTTCCAGTTAACAGATATTTACATTTCTCAGATAATGACGAATTTGACATAAACTGTTATGAGTACCCAAAATTAGTAAAGATCTGGCTTCTGCTAAAACATTTGCAAACTTGTTTCCAAAATGCTATTAACCCCAAAATGAGAAATTACCGTAGATCAGAGAGTTACACTGCACAGAGGAAGAATGGGAATTAATGTATTTGACTGAAGTGTTTATTCTTTTTAATAAAAGTGTACATACTTTGTGAATGAAAGTCTAGCTATGTATGGCCAATAGTAATATATATGTTACGGTGAAACACCGAAATCTGGAGAATGTCGACTTTCACCGGTGAATGTCAACATTCACATAGTCTCTTGGTGTATGTCCGAAATATTTTCCAAATACTCTTATTTCTGACTTACACCGGTCAATGTCGACATTCACCATGTACTAATGGTGAATGTTGAACATATAACAATATTACATTTTCTTCCCCGTAATTCAGTCGTGAATAAACGCACTTGAGACTTGAAATAAGAACTTAAGAACATGAGAACCTAAAACACACAATGCATTCAAAATGAGAAAGGAAAATAATGGAAGTTAAAAACTTAACTTAATTATACAGTACATTCTAAATGAGAAAATAAATAACAGTAATAAAAACTTACTAAATTATGTGATTCAAATCTTATTTATTGCAACAACTTAAACTATTATGGCACTTTATGACCTCTCTTTTCGACTTTCACCAGAGCATATCTGTGATTGTCGACATACACTGGTGAGGGTCCGAATATACAAGAATGTAGTGAAATATTCGGTCTTTCACCGACGTATTTGGTGAATGTTGATATTCTCCGGTGAAAGTCGACGTTCTCTAATTTTGGTCTTTCACGGTAACATATATACAAAAAAAAAAAAAAAAAAGGTATGTGTTCGATGGCAGTTACAAAGAACAAATCTTTGCAAGTTTTAAGGACACTTACACAACAAATTTTATTAAGAATACTGTCTGACAACTGATAACTTCTTTTTATCACCTGAGATAGCAGATATCCATATTAGTTGTTGCACCAATATGTATAAAACACTGCAACTTCAAAGAAAATAAGTTCCTACAGCACTACAAAAATGAAGTGTCTCTTAACCCAGAAATGGGTCAAATATCCATGTCCAAGAATGAAATAAAATGGAAACTGAAAGTGGTTATGGAGTATAATAACACATTTGGGTGGTGTAGATCAAATGAATAAGAACTTGAATAATCAGAAAAAGGAAGGGACGTAACTACATATTTTTTTTCTTCTAGACATCTGTTTATGAAATAATTGTTTTCTATAAAAGGCATGGTGGTAAAAATACGAATTTAGTTTTCAGTGTGATATTATTGATCATCTGATTGAAAGGCATGCAGTCAATTGAAGAATAAAAGGTCATCCTGGATGTTTACTAACTCCAATGAGACTTACAGGAAGACATATTTTAGAAGGGATTCCACCTACAGGGGGGATTAGGACCTGCAAGATAGTGCTGTATGTATTTACAGACAAAAAAAGAAAAATGGCAAGAGAATTAGAAGAGAGACTAGGTGTTTGTTCAGACTGTGATGTTGAATTCTGCCTCATGGCTTGTTTTAAGGTGCCTAACACTAAGTCAGATCTTGGGGGGGGGGTGTAAATAAATGTAACTGTAGTAATTTTAATCTAAAATAGTTGTTAAGCAACTATATTTTTTTATGTGCACAACCCTAAATGTAATTTCCCTTTTTGTCCCTCATGTAGGAAGAAAAGACAACTTCTAGGGAAAACATTATTATTTTGTTTGCAGTGGAAAAGTGGCTTAAAAATGTTAGATATGTTAATTTTGGTAACATTTTTGTACTTACAAATGTAAAATGAAGAAAATAAATAAATAAAAAAGAAGAATTCCGTGAAAAATGTGACATGTTTTGGATCTGTACTGCTAAGCACTAAGCACTATTACTGCTAAGCAGTTAAATGCCCTAGAAATTGCAAACAGTTTGACTGTTTTACTCCTATATACACACCTTAAATATTTTAATAATTGGCAAATATCTTCTTTTGGCAGAAAGAAAAAAAGGCCGAGTTTGAAAAGTTGCTAATAACATTCATGTTAACATGCAACTGCTGCAGTGCTGTTAGAAATGTCTTAGAAAAGCAAATGCATTGACTGCATTGAAATGTTTTTTTTCCAGGTGTAATCATATATTCTAACTGAGATAGTATCATGAGTAAAAGATGGCGAAGACCACAAAGTGGTTGTAAGGCAAACTGTGAAATTTTATGACGTGTGATGTACAGTCAAAAGTCGTTAATTCGGACACTCATAATCCAGAATGATCTATAATCCGGACCTCAAAGCTACAAACTTTCTGCGCATGCGTCGCATTGACGCATGCGCGTAAGACATTTACCGCTGCGAATTTGCGCGTGCGCAAAATACGTTTACGAAAGCGCGTTTAACGTATAACGGACGGGATAAGCTAAGCTAAAATTATCTAATTATCTATTTCAGTTACTGTAGCAGGTTGCATTGTTCCTTAATCTTCGAATTGGATCCGGATTATTATTTTTTGCAGACTGCTTTGAACTTTCGATTATGTCAAATAGAATTTTCGATATATATTTACTAATATGTAAAGGATATACAAAGCGAAAGTATCTTTCGGAGTCCATTAAACAAAAAGTGGAATTGCTGCAAAAAATGGATAAAGCCATATCCTTTGTTTATCTAAACTTTAACGTTTGTTTATCTAAACTTTGTTTATCTTTAACGCGCGGCGGCGTGCAATGAATTGGAAGTTGATCTGTCAGCACTATCCTTATCTTAAGGGCAGATGTCTTTATTTTATTTGGCTTATAATTGCTTACTCAATGTAGTATTTCATCTCGATGTACTCTGTCTTTGATATGATTTAAATCAAATGCATCGTCATTATAATTTGCTTCCGATAGCGAAGAAAGTGACAGAGGTTATTGAAAACAAAAAATTTCGATTGACAAATTAGTCGGTATTCTCGACACAGCAATTATAGGACTTGAACAGCGGAATTTTGTTACTGAACAAGAAATTATGTCTGTTTATAGAATTAAAGAGAATATATTATCACATAAAAAACGAAGCAACTTAAACAACTTACATTAAAAGAAATGTTTAATAAAGTAAACAAATAAATATTAAGCTCTTTTTTTTTTTGTAAATTTTGATACCCTTTCATAATTGTTCTTTATTTCGTAAATTACGGTTTCATATTTTTAATTTTATAATTT